ACCCACCGCCTCATATATATATATATATATATATATATATATATATAATATAATATATATATATATATAGTTTAACTATTTGACGGTTTTTACCCTTCAAGTTAAATTCCAACTTTACGTCAATATAGGTATAAACACATTTTTGACGTAAAACTAGTCTAGGGTACAAATTGATTAAGCATAGGGTACAAATATATCATGCATAATTCTACCAAAATTCTCTTAACTCAATTTGTACGAGTTAACGAAAACACGGATATTATAAGTAAAGTGTTTCTTCATTTTATTCTTGGCTTTGGATATGTGATTAATGCTCACTGCCTTATCCTTATTCTTTACTTCTGATTCTTCTTGAACACAAATAGTAATGAGTTCATTTAAAGTCCACTTCTCATTTTGTGTATTGTACAGACTCCTTAAGTGACTGTACTGTTCTGGTAATGAATTCAGAAGGAGATGAACTAGGAATGAATCATCAATGGAGACTTTCATCTCCTTAAGTTTACAAGCAGTATTAATTCCTTGCAGAATGTACTCTCTTATTAACACATCAAAATTGTACTAGAATCTAATTAACACATCAAAATTGAACCACAGACTTGCGATCAATTTAATTATGTCGACATACCTTGTAAGATTGAAGAACTCTGATTTAGATCACTGCCTTGTCCATCACCCATGCTTTTCTTAGATACTTCTATATCCTTACCATTTGATGGCAATAGGTAACTCACAGGTTCGTATTTGTGTTCTTAGGAGAGATAGATGAAATTGATGCAGAAGGATTGTATCTATAACAGTGTTTTAGCGGTTCTTACCATCAGAGAACCACACTAACTGTCACTCAATTAATTGCCATACATGCATCATCATTTGGCACCAAAACAGGTAATTCATGTAGACTAATACCTTATATTTATACGTATGCATATACAAATAGATGGTCTACATGTATAAATATATTTAGATGGTCTACATGTAGACTAATACCTTATATTTAGACCATATATTTGTATATGCATACGTATAAATATAAGGTATTAGTCTACATGCATTACCTGTTTTTGCGCCAAATGATGATACATGTATGGCAGTTAATTGAGTGACAGTTAGTGTGGTTCTCTGATGGTAAGAACCGCCAAAACACTGTTATAAATACAATCCTTCTGCATCAATTTCATCTATCTCTCCTAAGAACACAAATATGAACCTGTGAGTTACCTATTGCCATCAAATGGTAAGGATATAGAAGTGTATCTTAGAAAAGCATGGGTGATGGACAAGGCAGTGATCTAAATCAGAGTTTTTCAATCTTACAAGGTATGTCGACATAATTAAATTGATCGCAAGTCTGTGGTTCAATTTTGATGTGTTAATTAGATTCTAGTACAAGTTAATACTTACAAAGTAACATACTTTAACTTGAATCATATTTTGGGTAACGTACTCTCAAAAATCTCATTTTGGTATCTAAGATGTAAATGTTTAAACATTTAAGCATCCGGATAACCGGTTACCATACTGATGTGGCGAGTGATGGAATGAAATTGGGTTGAATAGCAAATAATAGTGAGTTGGAGACCACATCACTCACTACATTAGCATGGTAACCGGTTAATGCTTCAATCAGTTACTCGAGTACTTAAAGTTTTAAACTTTACATCTTATGTGATTTCATAGAAGTTTTGATTGTTTCCTAATATAAAGTATTGATCATAATTAATGAACCTTATTCATCATTTTCATAAATATCTCAATTTATTGAGTTACATTAGTTATACAAATATAATGAATTGCATTTGAAACGAACTCTCTTCTTATATATATATATACACGCAAATAAATTAAAAAACTTCCAAAAGAAATAATTTTCTTATAGAAAATATAAATTGAAAATAATAAAAAGAAAATATAGTAAATAGTAAAAATTTAATAGTTCCAGAAGAAGGACCACCGTAAGTCAATGGAATCCCCAAATAAACGGTTGAGATTTATAGTAGCAGAAGTGGGCCCATCCTACGGTCTCCTCCCGCGTTTCATGAAATTGAACTCGCACTGAATCCCCACGTCCTCTTCGTTCCCTTTTTACCCCATTTGGAAATCAAAAACTCACCCGCAGCCATCTCTTTCAATAATTTCTTCCCCACCATCTTCCATCAGAGATTTTCTGCATCCATTCTGCCACATATTCTGCTCAAAATCGATTGATATCTTTTCAATTATTATCATTGATCTTACTCAGTACCTCACAGAGATTCAGTCGCCGGATTTCCCCTCGTTAATGTCAGGTACATATGCATTAATTACTCCATACCAGCAAATTCTAAGATCTTATGAAGATATTTAGGGTTATTAACTTACTATTATGTATTTAGAGATCATATTAAGTTGCAATTTTACTTGATCGTTGTTGCTTGTTGCTCTCGATACGAACATTAGGTTATGGAGGATGATTTTCCAGATTTAAGTTACAATCTGATACTGCTATTTAAGTGTTATTGTGCATTTAGAGATCAAATTAAGTTGCAATTTTACTTGATCATTGCTGCTTGTTGCTCTCGATCCGAACACTATTAGTTTCTGGAGGATTGATTTTCGACTTTTGAATTGCAATCTGATACTGATGTTTGAGTGTTTAATCGATGATTTTGGGGTAATTAGAGTTGGATAAGAAAGGGGAGTGTCGTTTGGTGTTGTTTGTTTCAGGGAGTGGGTAGAAGTGTAGAAGTGAAATGAGTGTTATTTGAAATCTAGAAGGTTGGTGTATGACCAAATGAGTGTTACCCTCTTGATATGACAATTGCTTCCTGCCAGACATTTTTGCAGTTTGGACCAAATTTATTTGGATTTTTGCTTTCCTATTTCATTAAATTGAAACTTGTTTAAGAAGTGTTTGGTTAACAATTAAGTATGGTGAATTCTATTTGCATCGTTTTTAGTCAATTTATGTATTTAGAATGTTAAAAGTAGGCATTCTTGTTGACGTGTATGAAAAGAAATTTATAGGTAAAAATATATTTAACAATATATAGAGGTGCATTTAACCGGCCTCTTAACCATTTATAATCTTATAAAGTTATGAATGCTTAGAACATCTTCAAAAGGGTGAAAAATATCATAAATTTGGTTTTTATATATTTTTTGATTTTTTTTCTTCATATTATTGATATTGAAATGATACATGAGACCCACAAAATGATGGATTTTATGCTAGTTTTTAAACATCTCCAATAAAAAATTGGAGGTCCTTACAAGAACTATCATTGAAGAAAGTTCATACTTCACATCTTTGGGGTTCTTGTACAAAAACATTGTTCTTACCTTGAACTTTATGTGAAATAGACATTTTAGTAGTTTTTTTATATATACTTTGTCATTTTAATAGCTTTTATTTAATTATTGATGTTGAACAAATAATTAGGGACCCACAGAAAGAGTTCTTATAAGAACTATCATTTTTGAGTTTTCGTAGATTTTTCATTTAATGAGTTGGAAATGATGTGACAAGAAATGGTACAAAAACTGGACTCTTATAGAGCATCTCCAATGGAATAAGAATCCGTTTTTTGTACTTTTGCTTGCCACAATACTATTTCTAGTTCACCGAATTAAAACCTATATAAACTTTAGTTCTTATAAAAATCTATTTTGTGGGTCTCATTTCTTTTTTCAACATAAATAATAATTATAAAGCCAATAAATGAAATTTTTTATACAAAATCTCAAAAGAGGTGAGGTTTTTATAAGAACGCTGTTTAATGGTGATTCTTATAAGAACCTACAAATTTTGCTTATAAAAACTAATAACGGAGTTGCTCTTAAATTGCTAAGTCAACAATGATGTGATAAAAAAATGCAAAATATAAGTTCCTTTAAATTCTAAAAATAATCAACGATACTAAAGATAAACTAAAAAGTGTTTCTTTTTTCTTTCTAGCCATAGAATATGTAATCAATGGCTTGTTTGACTGAAATTTTGCGATTGTGTTTATGAGGTAGAGTGTGTACGCTTAATCTTTACAAAGCAATGATTGTACTTTTTATATTCATACCTTTCTATTGATGCTGGTCAGAATTATGTGCAGTGATAAACCTTCAATAGCTTCTGAGATTTTCCTTCTTTTGAATTATTTTCGTGTTAAAGGCTCCTGTTCTTCAATGCACACTAATCCATTAAACTTATAAAACTGTAATTTTTACACACACACATATATATATATATATATATATATATATTGAGGAAGGATCGTTTGAGAATATGAGTTAAAGTGACAAGTGTAAGAAGGAAATTGGATGATCAATTATTCTTAATCTTAAACCAACCAATTAATTGCATTTTAGAAGGGAATAGATTCAGTGTATCTCATTAGTGTTGATCTTTATGGTGAGGAACCCAACCATATATATATATATATATAAAGAGAGAGAGAGAGAGAGGTATTTCAAATACAAACCATAGAATGGTTATAAACCATAGAAACCAATCGATTAAGATGTTTATAGAAATGATAAAAGTTTATTTATCATGACTTAAGTATAAATGAAAGATGATTAAAGTTCTTTTATTTATGATTAACTTTTTATATTAAGATATATCTATAAAATTAAATATTCATTAGACTAAATATAAAACTAAATATTTGTTAGATTAAATAGATGAATGATATTAGAATGATATTGGTGTGTATGGTTTGTAAGTTGAAGGTATATTTGGTTTTGAAAATTAAAAGTAGATGTAAGAAGCATCTTCTCCAAAATTAAGACAAACGAGGTTGTGTCACTTTCTCCAAGTTTTACTATTATTTCTTTCGGTTTATCTTTTTGTCTTGTAATGCATTTCTTCACGAGGTTATGTCAGTAGGAATACATAGAAATTAAAATAGAAATTCAAAAAATGCCTTCCATTATCTCTCATAGCATTATTTGATGCCTTTCTGTTTCCCCTTCTATCTCCCTCAACACCAGCACAAGAACAGACTCTTTATACCCTCTTTCATCACTTTTTTCTAGATCTCTTTTATTACTTGTAATAAAGATTTATAAATAATACATTTGGCTTTTCTCTTTCATTACCTCCACCTGGTGAAATTTGAACCCTTTTGGCCTCTCTGTTTCTCTCTCTAGATTTTGTAGTTTTTGAGTTGAGAAGGAGAGAGTGAAAATGGGAAAAGCTGCAAGATGGTTTAGAGGGTTGTTGGGTATGAAGAAAGACAAAGAAAATGCGGATAATATGAGTCCTCGTGATAGAAAAGAGAAGAAAAGATGGAGCTTTGGAAAACCCATGAAGGAATCTCCGGCGGCAGCGGTGGCCGCTAATAGTAATTCATCGTTAACAACTGATCCCACTTGGTTGAGATCTTACATGTCTGCATCAGAGAAAGAACAAAACAAACATGCAATTGCTGTTGCTGCTGCCACCGCAGCCGCAGCAGACGCCGCGGTGGCCGCTGCACAGGCTGCGGTGGCCGTCGTGAGGCTCACAAGCCATGGTAGAGGAACTCTATTTGGTGGTGGTAGAGAAAGATGGGCTGCAGTCAAGATTCAAACGGTCTTCAGAGCTCATTTGGTATGTTGCTTTCCGTCTTTAATTGCTCCTTTTCTTGCCGTTAGACAACATCATGGGAGCCTTTAAATAAGGTTAACCAAAGATTCACATGTGAATACTGTAAAACTCCATTTTCATATGCACATGTGAATATAAATGAATAATTTACATGTCGGTTCATATACGTATCTTTAAAGTGTACTTTTTTGGATTTTCTCAATGTTTCGTATATAAACCTTCGTTTAACCTTCCGTTCTTACCAGAAAATTCATGTGAATATTGTAAAATCTATTTTAAGTTTTATATGTGAATTTATATGAATAATTTACAATGTCCATTCACATATGCATCTTTAAGTATGTTTGTTCGGATTTTTACAATGATTGATATACGAACATTCCTAACCATCTGCTCTTATCTTCTCACAATATTTAATCTTCTTGTTTAAACCAAACATCATAGGAACATTTTGAAACAATTTTAACTTGGATTTTGAGTGCAAATGAGGTTTGAATGCATGATTGCATGTTAACCTTTCAATCTGTATTGTAGTGTTTGGATTTATGCACCATAGACATTTTATGTTCCTTTGGTTTCCTATTTGGTAGTCCTTGTAGACTGTGAAGATAAGTACATTTCTTTTGTATATTACTTCATTAATGATTACTTCTCTGTCTTTATTTCTCTCCATTATTTGTGGGAATAATATAATTCCAAACCCTTTACTATTACTGGTTCTTGTAACTGTGATTGACACTGTCACACCTCTGTTTAATTTTTCAAAAATTTTCAAAATTTTGAATCTTTTTTAGCAAATTTCCAGACTCATAGATGGTGTTCAACATTTCTTGTGCTTTGTGGTCCTTATTAGCTCTCTTTGTTGTATACTTCTAGATTGGATGGATTCTTAATATTTAAATCATCTTTTAAGTTTGAAATTTGCCTTTACCTAGGTATCATTTTGTTGACTTTGTGCATCTCCTAATCTTTCTTCCCCCAACATCATGCATTTTCTTTTCTGGGTAAAGGCAAACTATGTTACATCTTATCCTTTTGAGATCCTAATTCTGTATGGGATATACTGGTTACGTTTGGTTGATTTGTATTTTTAGGAAAAAAAATGTTATGACTTATAAAAACTACTGTTAGAGAGGGTTATTATAAGTCACCCATATGTACAAGAACCTTAATCTTGCCTTGAGTTTTGTGTGACTTAACATTTTAGTAGTTTTTTATTTATTTATTTTTTGATTTTTTATATCTATGTTATTGATTTGGAAATAATACATTAGATCCAGAAAAGGAGCATCTCCAACAGCTATGTTAAACTAGAGATTTTGAAGATTTATAGTATATTTTTGCTCTATGAAATGGCATTTTAGTAGTTTTTTTTATATGTTTTTTGTTTTTTACATCCATATTAATGATATGGAAATAATACATGGGACCCACAAAAGAAGGTTCTTATTAATTGTGAAGTTTTATGCTAGTTCTTAATTTATTGAATTCGCAATAATATGTCTTATAATGTTTCTTCCTCCAACATAATGCATTTTCTAATTTTCTACTTTTATTTTTGTTGAGTTTGTTTAATGGAGGATGGTTAATTTGTGTTTTTTAGGCAAGAAAGGCTCTAAGAGCTCTAAGAGGACTAGTGAAATTACAGGCTCTTGTTAGAGGGTTTCTTGTTAGGAAAAGAGCAGCAGCCACTCTATACAGTATGCAAGCTCTCCTTAGAGCTCAGACCGCAGTTCGGTCCCAAAGGGCTCGTCGGTCCTTCAGAAATCATCACCGGATTCAACCTGAAACCTGTCGCCGCAAATCCACTGTAAGCCTGAAATCATATGCTTTCTAATTCTACCTTTAATATTGTCATTTAGTTGATTAGAAAGTGAGATAATTACACATTTTTTAAAACTATGCCTTTTTTTTATCGGATTCAACATGAAACCCATCACTGGAAACCCCATCGTAAGCCTGAAATTATATGCTTTCTGATTCTACCCTTGATAACGAGATGAAGAAATTCATTACTCTCTCTATGATCAAGGGTAAAATTGTCATTTAATTAATTAAAAACGTGTAATAATTACACAATTCTGTAACTATGGTCTTTTTTTCATCGGGTTCAACCTGAAACCCATCGCTGTAAGCCTGAATTACATGCTTTTCGATTCTATCCTTAATAATGAGATGAAGAAATTCATTATTTCGATTCTATCCTTAATAATGAGACGAAGAAATTCATTACTCTCTCTATTATCGAGGGTAAAATTGTCATTTAGTTAATTAAAAATTGTGGTCATTATACATTTCTAAAATTGTGTCCGTCTTTTTTCATTGTTCGACATTTATTTCAGGAGAGGTTTGATCACGAGACAAGAAGTGAATTCCATAGCAAGAGACTCTCGACTTCATACGAATCCACAACAAATTCATACGACGAGAGCCCAAAAATAGTCGAAATCGACACGTACCGGCCACACGCAAGATCCAGACGTATTCACACATGTACGACCGATTCTAGTGAGGAATCACATTACTACCACAATACGTCATCTCCCTTGCCAAACCGCATCCCGGTTCCCGAATCCCGCTACTTTCAGGATTCCGAATGGGGATATATCGGTGATAACGAATACAAAGTCTCAAACACGACTCAAAGCACCCCTCGTTTCGGTCACTCAGGCCGGTCAACCGTGGCTCCGGCCACACCGACGAAAAGCGTATGTGGGGACGGGTGTTATTCGAACCATCCAAGTTACATGGGGAACACGAAATCGTTCTCGGCAAAAAAACGATCGCAAAGCGCTCCGAAGCAACGGCCAGAAAGCGGGGTTAAGACGAGGTTATCTTTGATTGAAATAATGGCATCAAGAAGCAGTTTAAGTGGCGTGAGGATGCAAAGGTCTTGTTCTAAAGCTCAAGAAGCTATAAACTTATGAAGAATGGTTTTGTTGTTCCCTTTGTGTTTGATAAGGAATTTAAGGGTATTTATTTCTGTTAGTATATCATCTCCAAATCAACTGTACTTTATTTTCAAGGCCAAATTTAGGGATATTTGTGTACAAATCCTTCTTTCTGTGCAACTTTGGTTCTATACTGGACAGGACGTAACAAGACAGGGATCTCTGTCTCATGTTTGACATGACTTTTATATGGAACATAGTGGAATAGAAACGGATTTATATTTTACCAATATAATCTAAAAATAAAACTTAATTCTCTTCTAAAACATCAATATTATTTTTATTTGGTTTCTATATTTTTTATTAATTTATGTAATTATTATATATTTAATAAATTACATAAAATAATCAAAATAAACAACTCATTATGCGTAAATTGGTCGTTTTACGTGTTCTGTTCTGTCTAGTTTTATCTTACCAAACGTTAAACAGTTGTTCTATCATTTCCTGTCTGTCTGTACACCAAACACACCCTAAATAAGCCTTTTGTTGATTTAACATTTTGGTTTTCTTTTGCATTGTGTTAATTGAACACTTTTCTTAATGATGGGTTTTCAGGTCAGTTTACGATTTTAGGCACACTAGTTAATTTCCTAGGTGATCATGAACGGTCTAGAGTCAATCCAAGCAAATCTTTATGGGTGAAAATATACTTTTCACCCAAGTCTACAAATGACATCTCCGTAAGTGGGTGAAAACCGGAGGAAAAAAAATCCACTTTTCACCCAAGTCTGCAACTGGTAGGTGAAAAATAATATTTTTTTTGTTCTTTAACTCACCTGCAAGTTTAGAATGTGCCATTTACAGAGTCAGTGGTATTTTAGAAGATTCCAGAAAAAAAAATAACTAAGAGATAAATTTGATACATGAAAATGGTTGTCTCTATTGCTTTCCTTGTTTGGGGGTGTTTAAGATTGCTTATTTGAAACAACTTGTGTTTTTCTAAAAAAAAGTCTTTATCAACTTATCATAAGTTAGAATGATTTAACTTTTTTAAAAACTCTTTTATTACCGGTTTGACACCGATGAAAATTGTTAATCCAAACATTTAAAAATGCTTATTACCGGTACCGTACTAAAATAAGTCAATAAACAATCGCCAACACCCCTTTAAAGTGCTATTTTTTTTTTCAAAATTAAGTAGTCTTTGTATAAATCTTTCATATTTATATTAAATTATTTATAAAAATAGAAATATTTTATTTAGTTTAAAATAGATGTAGGTTTCTAAAAGTGGAAAGGGGGTAAATATTGAATGGGAGGAGTAAATCCTTAGTGATTGGATGTGATTGATGTTAGCTTTGGGATCTCCTTGAAACTTACACCTAAACCCTCCTAATTACTATATTTAGAAAGAAAAAACTAGAATTTTAGTAAAACCTAATTATCATTATAAATAGATTTATTTGTATTATAATAATTCAAAAGGAAATCCATTAAAATAGCCGATCTTTTCAACAAAATTCATTTTCAGCTATTTTTTCAATTGAATTCTTATTTTAGTCAGAGTTTATATAGATGTCTTGCGCATCTGCGTAAACTCGATTTCCATATTTTCTTTTGCGTAAAGAATTTGCATAATATGCGTAAATATTTTTGTTATTTTTTAAATCTGTAAAATAGGTTTTTACGCAAACGTGTGATGCATTTGCGTAAATTCTAGTTAAAATTAGAACTCGGTGCAAAAAGTGGTTGAAAATTGAACGTGGTTGGAGACATGCGACGCCATAAGGACATGCATCGGTACACAAAATGTAAGGCAAAGTCGCAGCTTGCGGCATCACAAGAAAAAACAACTTACGGTTTCTTGAAGAATTTAGCCTTTAAAGTACAGTATAAATTACAATTAGTACGCTACTTATTTAAAGAAATCAGATAAGTTTCTTAGTTAAAGAAAAAGTAAATACGTTGGTGATTTTAGTTCAACTGTCAATTAGACTTGAGCCTTTCGGAAATTCTTTAACAGGCGGTTAGTTTGAGTCCTATAAAGCCACTAGACCCTAGAGATTATTCAAGTAACTGCAAGCTGATCCAAACCCCAAAGATTATTCAAGCTGATCTGAACCCCAAAAAAATTTCAAGGAAATGCAAGCTGATCCAAACCCCAGAGATTATTCAAGCTGATCCAAACCTTATAGATTATTCAAGTAAATGCAAGCTGATCCGAACCCCAGTGATTATTCAAGCTGATCCGAACCCCATAGATTATTCTAGTAAATGTAAGCTGATCTAAACCCCATAGATTATTCAAGTAAATGCAAGCTGATCCAAACTCCATAGATTATTCAGGTAAAAACAAGTTGATCTGAACCACAAAGATTATTCAAGTAAATATAAATTGATCCGGATATCAATGATAAGGTTAAAATTGGAAATAATATATTAATTAAAAGGGGAATGGTATACATGAATCCGTACGATGAGGTTACCAAAGCAGGGGTATTTCAGGCATTTGAGCCATGTTAATTGCATCATTATTCCTTTTCTCACATCATCTCTGTATGTTTCGTGCAGTGTGTAGCAGTAATAGATAAGGAAATGTTTATATTTCCGCAACTACCCCTGTCTCTTGCTCCAATTGTTAATTTATTTCTAGCGTAAATTACATATTTGGTCCTTGTAGTTTGTCAAAAATAATACTTTTGATCCCTATAGTTTTCAAATAGGTGATCATCGTAGTTTATAAAAAAGTATGGATTTGATCCATCTCTCTAACGTCCGTTAAAAAATTTCGTTAAAAAAAAGACATTTTCATTATTTTATTGATTTTTTTTGTTTTTACTCAATCAAGAACCGCATGGACCAAGATCATAAATTGATTTTGATTGGGTAAAAGACAAAAAATAAATAAATAAGTTGATGACACGCCTCTTATTTAACGGAAACTTTTAACAACGGTTAGAGAGAGACCAAATTTGAACATTTTTACAAATTACGATAACCATCTTGTAATTTCAAAACTGTAAAGACGAAAATATTATTTTCTACAAACCTTAAGGACCAAATTTTATTTATTTTTTAACTAGATTCATATTTTAGGTAACATACTTTTAAAACTTTCATTTTGGTATCTAAAATATAAATTTTTAAATATTCAAGTACTTGAGTAACAGGTTGAAGCATTAATCAATTATCATGCTGATGTATGAGTGATGTGGTATTCAACTCAGTATTTTACTAACGTGATCAGTGACATAATTTTTTTAATCTAAAATTGGTGTTCAACCAGTTGTCCGGGTATTTAAATGTTTAAAATTTTACATCTTAGCTACCAAAATAAAAATTTTAAAAATACGTTACCCAAAATATAAATCAAGTTAAACTACGTTACTTTTTCATACAATTTACTCTTAAAAAACTTATTTCATATTTCATATTTAAACAAATATATATCATATTTTTAAAGAAATAAATAAAATAAATGCATCATACCCAAGAAAACATGTAAGAGTACGATGATTGGTTGAAGTGACGTTGGATTACGTCAGCAATACTACAAATAAAGGTGTGCAGATACATATTAAATACACGATTAGACCACAAATCAAGGGTTTAATTAACAAAACCCCATGCAACCCTATCACTATTTATTCTAATCTATTTCGTAACTTTGAATTTTGAAAAAGGAATTTGAATTTGTCTCCTAATATTCAAACAACAATTTAATATTTAGAGAATTTTATTAATAAATAATTAAAATTTAAATACGAATAAATTACGGGTTTTGTTCACGTGGTTTAGAAATTTCGATTTTCGTTCATGTGGGTTTGGTTTTTTTTTATTAACCTGAATATCCAACATCGATCACCTACTTTGTAGATAGTCTGGAGTCACTGCATTTGAACATCCGTGGCGGCGTAGCCACAAGAGGATTTTTATTCCTCTCATGATTTGAGTTTGAGACCTTCTGATATTTTTAACCTTTGGAGTCAAGTTCAAACGAATCATGCACCACACTTGTAGACTAATTCCTACCTTTTAAGTAAAGAGGACCAAAAAAAAGTAAAGGATTGTAGAATACATGAAATGAAATAATAATGAATTGTGATTTATAAGGACGAAAATAACAATAAGTTACAAACCATAGGGACGATAACTGAAATTTCTAAACCGTAAGGTTGAAGATTGCAAATTTTTAACAAATCACATGAACGAAAAATTATTTTTTTATACATAAAGTACTGTTTATTGATACATATTATTTGAAATTCAAGATTATAATAAATTTGTGTATAAATACAACTTATTAAAGCTTTATGTTTTTGAATTTATATAACTAGTTATAGAAAAACATAATTAAATACGGAATAAACATCTCATTTTAAATATA